TTATAATTGTTGTTACTACACAGAAAAAAATTATCATCTACATTCAATAAAAGCTTAACATTTGTTTGAAATAAAGCTGAGTTTGCTTTAAATAATATTTCTCGATACAATAAGAAAGTATAGGCATAATTTTGTATTTTAAAAGTTATAATAATTAAACTGAGAATAAATTATTTCATTCGAGTATAGAATTGGGAAAAATCTGCCAACAGTCGAACGGGCTATTTTTTTTAATTTTTTTTTTAAACGATTTTAGACCGTCTGATACACATTTCAAAATACTTTTTTTGCCCTGAAAATGCTATAAAATATTTTTTACCTTAAAACTATTAAAATGTGCCTTCCAATTTCGATGTTGAAAAAATTTAAACTACATCCAGCCTGGACACAGCTCAAATTAAAAAAAAACCTAACCTAACCAACCCTCCTTAGCGTCTGGCCAGTGAACCTCGATCTTAACTTTTAACGAACGTGTCTTGTATCGTGGGCATCTAATAATAAGAAAATATACAATAAGAAAATGAAGAAACGACCTCTTGTAAGGTGGCGGCTTCGCCGCCACCAGAAAAATTTTAATACATACCTGGCTACGGCGACCGGCATAAACTCCAACGGCCTGGACACAGCTCAAATTGAAAAACCTAACCTAACCAACCCTCATTAGCGTCTGGCCAGTGAACCTCGATCCCAACTTTTAACGAACGTGTCTTGTATCGTGGGCATCTAATAATAAGAAAATATACAAAAAAAAAATGAAGGAACGACTTCTTGTAAGGTGGCGGCTTCGCCGCCACCAGAAAATTTTAAAACCATACCTGGCTACGCCGACCGGCATAAATTCCAATGGCCTGGACACAGCTCAAATTGAAAAACCTAACCTAACCAACTCTCATTAGCGTCTGGCCAGTGAACCTCGATCCCAACTTTTAACGAACGTGTCTTATATCGTGGGCATCTAATAATAAGAAAATATACAATAAGAAAATGAAGGAACGACTTCTTGCGAAGCCGCCATCAGAAAATTTTTAATACATACCTGGCTACGCCGACCGGCATAAACTCCAACGGCCTGGACACAGCTCAAATTGAAAAAAAATTTATTTTAAATATTAGATAAGTACCGACATGCCGTAATTAACGTACAATCATCATGAAATGAAATAAAAAGACGGTTGTCTGTGATTACTACAAATATTTTCACTTCGAGATCCAAATTTACCTGCTGGTCGAACACTATCTAATTTTTCAGCCCTTTCACTAACCGAATTATTTCCTGACTTATATGTTTTCTTACTCGATTTGTCAACACCGCAATTAAAGAAACGAGACACATTAATTGTCATTAAAAATAATTTAATGTTTATTTATTTTTTTAACAAACTTAAAATGAAAAATAATTAAATTTGATCGTTTATGAAAAAATTTGGTACGGTTTATTGCTCTATGAATGGTCTTATATTGATATTTAGCCGTTTCTACAACAAGAAATCAGTGAAAATGGTTTATTTCACATTTGTTTTATGATGGAGACCGGACAACAAATTTTAAGGATTTTCAGGATTTTAAGGTAAAATTTTTTTTTTAAATAAGTGTTAGCGGACCCAAAATTGTTATGCATAGTGTGTTTCCAAGTGTCTAGAAACTCTTTATAACATTTTAATAGTTATATCCGCCGTTCGAGTGTCGGCGTATAATACCTAGAATTGTAAATTAATTCAAGAAAGCTTACGTTTATTATAAGTATGATATGCTATTAAAACAGACTATTGCGTACTTGATTCAAAGTTATAAAAAGATTCAATTCAAAGCATTTAAATTTCAGAACAAGAATTAAACAATTCAAATCAAAAACCTATGTTCTTCACAAAAGATTAGTTAGTACAAATTCACTGCACGGTGTTGCCAGCTGAACCTTATTTTAAAATGCAACCACTGCACTGATACGGTAGATATATGACTGGCACATGTTAAGATGTGATACTTATTATTCGGAAGTCAGAGACACAACGCATTTATAGAGAATCTGGCAAATTGGCATTAGCACGTGTTTATCCTATTGTCTATTTTCTAACATGCTTGCATCGTATCGTTAGGGTTACGTTTTACTTTTTGTTAGAAATTCTTTGTGATTTGTTTAATAAGTATATGAATAAATTAAATAGAAATGGAACGTTTGTTAAATGAATGGGGCCTCAGCAACCTGATACCAATATTTAAATGTAAGTATATTTAGTTCACTTCTTGTTAAGTATTATTATATATAAGTAAATTTGTAATCATAAGAACACGAAACAAACTGGAATAGAAGTAAAAAAAATGTATTATGCTGGATTACGACTATTTGGAAAGACGACTTCTGCCTTGCTTAGATAAGAGGTCGTATCTACGAAAATTCTGATTTCAAGATTCTTACAAATTTAAGAGGCTTACATTTTATTTTATTATAACACAAAACAATAAAGGCCTGTTTGCATTAGAAAATATTTACTATAATTATAAGCAAAGTTTAGTAAAATATGCAAAACTTATTTGCGAAGTCTAAAAGGACATACTTATCTACCTACCCACATTTACTAAAAATATTCATTTTGTAGATACGACCTCTTATCTTAGTTTTATGTTATATTTGGGTTTTGAAGTTATAAAATTATTTTTTTTATTTATAGGTGAGACATCTTAGAGGACAGATGAATTTGGTATATTAACTAAAAACAATTTTGAAAAATGTTTTTCGGTGGATAGGTACCAGTGAGAACCCTATTAAAAAGCAAGAACAGCCTGATCTTATTTCAAGATTATTAATTTCTTTAATGAAACTATCCTATAATTCAACCAAAATCAATATAATTATGTCAAAGATCATATTATTATTGTAACAAATTTAGTGGGATTTTAGAACAAGGTATTATTGAATATAAATAAAGTATATTTAAAACAAGTGTAAGACTATTTCATTTAAGATTGACATAATATTGCAATTAAGCAATAGATACTCTTCAGTTAGTTCGAGGTATTTTGGTTAGAGCAAGTTGTTTCTAATCTTGAAGCAAGGCTTATTAGCTACTGTTGATTGAGTGTATTACTAGAATTTCAAATCGAGACGAGTTTTACTTGCGGATATACAAACACAACAAAGCATTGAAATAAGACCATTTATCTTGAATATAGTACACTTTTTTTTCTGTGTAACTGTAGCAACTATAGATATGCATCCTCACTCATTAAATGGTTTGACCAATCAGAAGGTTCAAAATGAAGTTCCTTTAATAAATTTAAATGCGACACTGTATTTCTTTTCAGGAGCTAATTTTTATTCCTTCTATTTCCCTTTTTTCGTGGTTTTTTAGTGCTAAGCACCACGCGAACCCAATTAGGGTATCTTCGTCTATCACTGAACTGTACATAACAAATGACAAATAACAACTGACAACTAAACTGATCGTCTAACAACACCAGCATTTCCAAACTGTACTGAAACTGAGACTGAACGGAGAACTGATCTAACCGTCTAAAAGTACCTTTAGTTTGGTATTCTTAGAAACAAATGAAGTGATTGGCCAACTGGTTGGAAACGATTGGAAAAATATCTGACTAATTCTCCGGATTTTAAATCCGAGGCATGCGCACATGACATATTTTTAATAACCTACAATTTGACATTTGTTTGGCTTGAAATTTATGTCTGGAAATGTGTTTATCATTTGTCCATTTGAATAATTGTTTTCAGTTTTTCTTGTTTGTGGTTTCTGTTAATTTCTATTTTATTTTGAATTTTTTTATATACGCAGAATATAGTAAAACTGCAAACAAAACACATACTTGGTTATTCTGTAAAACATACGTCAAATTTCAAATAATTTCTTGTTTTTTTGTCCGTTAACTTAAATCTGTATCTAACTAACGAGAATAGGCAAAGAAAAATCCATAAACATACAAAATGCGTTCGCAAAGCATACATGGGCGATTCTCGGAAACCCTCCATTTTTCACTGTTCACGCTGTAACAATATGTATAAAAATCTCATTTTCTTCCTAGTGTATTATTTAAGTGTAGTAGTAAGTTACTTTTCTGTTCCTCTAACATTTTTTGTTGGATAACATAGTGTAGCAATATTTTTGTTTAAAACAGTATAGCAAATCTCATTACCGTGTCATGTGTCAAGCCAAAATCCGTTTAATGCTTGCTCGATATTCTTGACACATACATTGTGGCCCCTTTTTAGCTACGAAGAATGTTTATTTTAATATAGTAGTGTATTTTATCCCTTATGCATTATATTTAAAATCACTGGGACACGTATTTGAAGCAAAATGTTTTGTAATCAGTTTTCGAAAACATTACCGTGGCTTGAAAAGTAGAGGTGTATGTAACGGCTATTATAGCGATTGCCTAATTAAATACCGTCTTAGACCGTAAAGTTACACCTCTAAATGTCTATTGTGGCTGCAGCCGACGGGAGTGAGACAAAGACATGATCAGTCTTAAGATTATTGCTAACGGATGAGCGTCGATCTTGGCTTGTAATTAGTGTCACAGCATTACCGTGTTTGTAATTTTTTGGTAAGTTTATAAATGAATTTTTTAATTAATATACATATCAAAAAGTTATTTAGATATGAACATATGGAAGATAATTAAAGTTTCAGTTAAGTTTGTATTTGTCACTTATATTGATAGTATGTCATTTATTTCCGACATTACCGTGCCTTTCCTCAGACACGGTAATGTTTGCAAAACACGGTAATGTCATTTTCTTTTTTTTTCTTTTAGGATTATAGAAAAATGGGTAAAATTAAAATAAAACTCGTAAATCTTATTGGACAAAAACGTGATGTTCCAAACACTGTCAAGCGGGAAGAGACATTGAAGAGAAAACATGACCGCGAGAGAGAAAGAAGAAGAAAAATAAAAAACAACCCTGAGATGTACGCCGAATTTAAAATAAAAGAACAACAAACCTAAAACGAAGAAATGAAGGTAAAATTAGATTAATAAATGAAATGACTCCTAAAGAACAGAGAAAACAACGAAAACGATGGGTTGAAAACAATAGAAGTTATAGGAACAAAACAATGGAACGAAAAATTCTAGTCGAAAAACTACCTGCAAGTGATAATGAAAATGATGCCATACAGATTAATGATGGCAATATTAATTTAAAACTAAAGAGACGATTAGGTCTAGCTAGAACGTCTCTGCATCGTCAAAGAAAGAAATTTGAACAAGAGGTAAAAAAGCTAAAAAGAGAAAACAAAACTTTGAAACAAAAAATTAGAAGAAAAATATCAGTGGACTCCGTTCCTCTGAAGGAAATTTCAAGTAATACAATGCCCATGACAAAAAATGTGATGCCTTATAAAAACCAAAAAGATGATTTACAGGTTAGACTGAATAAAGTGAAAAAAATTAGGAAAACAAAATATAATAGGAAGGATGTAGGAAATGTAAAAAAGGCAATTATTAAATATTATGATGAAGATGAAAATAGCCGAATGTGTCCGGGAAAAAAAGAATGTATAACGCGCAATAAAATCAAGAAACAGAAAAGATGTTTAAATTACAATTTGAAAAATCTGTACCAAAAATTTCGACGTGAGCGAAACATTAAAATATCTTATAGTACGTTTTGTAAACAGCGCCCTTTTTGGGTGGTTCCTCCAAAGGTGGGTGCCCGTGATACTTGCTTGTGTGTGTTACACGAAAATATGAGACTCTTGATCATTAAGCTCTATTCTGAAGGAGTAATATCGCAAGCAATTCCTCATGAACTGATCAATAGCTTTACTTGTAGCATTTTTAATGAAGACTGATTATCAAGAAAATGTACCTTTTGTAAAAATGAAACTGTTACATTCTTAACATTCGATGGCTCCAAAAACGTCATTTATGAACAATGGATCTCAAAGAAAGAAACCCGCGTAAGTGCTAAAACGGGAAAAAACATCGAAGTAAAAATAACTTTAAAAGGAGAAATACCTATTTTATTGATTGATCTAGTTCACACTGTGCAAAAATCACTTCCAAGTTACATGGATCATTTGTTACGTGAACAACATCAAGCAAAAGCCATCAAATATTTAAAAACATTTTTAACAGAGTCGGAAGTTCTTGTACACATTGATTTTTCCGAAAATTATTGTTGTAAATATTCAACTGAAACACAAGGTGTTCATTTTGGAGCATCGAGGCAACAATTAACGTTGCATACAGGTGTTGCATATAAAAAAGATTATACCAGAGGTTTCTGTTCAATTTCTCAATCACTCAGACATGATGCTATTGCAGTCACAGCTCATTTAATTCCTGTTTTACAACATTACTTGAAAAATCTCACTATAAATGTACTACATGTAGTGTCAGATGGTCCCAGCACTCAATATCGCAATAAAACGATATTTTATATGATCACTAAATACCTTCCCAACATGTTTCCTTGTCTGCAGACAATTTCATGGAACTATACTGAGGCCTGACATGGAAAAAGTCCAGCAGATGGGATTGGCGCAACAATAAAAAGGACGGCAGACAGCGCTGTGGCCACTGGAACAGATGTCAAAAATTATCAACAGTTTGTTGATACGGTGACAAAAATAGAAAATATCGACTTTTATACGATTAATGACAATGACATTTTAAAGGTTGAAAACCTTATACCTTTAAACCTGAATACTGTTAAAGGTACTATGAGTGTTCACAACATTGTTTGGACTAAAGAAGAAAACACTGTTACTTTGAAATCATTAACTTGTCAAAGATGCAGGATTGGGAGCACATGTCTCCATTATAATATTAATACTATAAAAAGGTGTCCAGTATTAATACAGCCAAAATACACTGATTCTCAACCTCAAATACAGCGCATATCAACTGATTCTCAACTGCAAGTACAGCCTACATCGACTGATTCTCAACTGCAAGTGCAGCCCACATCAACCGATCCTGAACTACACGACGAAGAACTGAAGAGCATATCAGTAGGAGATTGGGTTGTGGTATTATATCAAGATGATTGGTATCCAGGTAAATAAACAAAACTAGCGTTAGCCATATAAAATAGAGATTATTTTTTAGGTATTGTCTTGGAAAATATTTCTGGACAGTTAAAAATTGATTTTATGGTTAGACAAAGTGAGCATTTTTGCTGGCCAAAGACTTCAGATACGCAAAAGGTTGCCGAGGCGGGTGTACTCTATAAAATAATAAAACCTCCTGTGCCTATCAGTTCAAAGCTATTTTTAATTCCAGAAAAAGACTTAATTAATTATATAATAAACAATTGATTTGAATATGTTATTAATTCTGCAGTTTAAAGAATATATTTTGTTTATTTTTAGAATGAATGTACTTAATTTTGTTTTAATATAAAACACAGAAACCATGATTTGAAACATTACTGTGTCGATAATTTTTCACTACCATGTTCATTATCATTACCACGTATCATAAAAACATTACCATGACCCATAAAAACATTACCATATCCCATAAAAACATTACCATGTACTTTTTTTAGTTTTTCAGCATGTGTAACAAAAAAATGAAGTGATACAACATCATTTCAAAAACTTCTATCGAACTACTTTTCGGCGTATAATCTCTAGTTTTGGTAGTACCGTTTTTTGTACAGACACAAAATTTTCTCTTGAAAATGTAAAATTTTTAAGAATCACCCACATATGACAATAAATCCCAAACCGTTGGAAATCGCGCATGCGCATCATAAAAGAATCACCAGCCGTTGGAAACTGTTTCTACGAACAAACCTATTGCCCCTGCATTTTAGAAGTTTAACAAGTGTTTTAGCACAACAAAACAGTAATTATATAGCACCTAGAAACAAACCAAATAAAATTAAACATCAAAAAAATTTAATATAATGATTAGAACGTCTAGATAGTATTCAGATTGGTTGTTTGGTAAGTTGGTACTTCTGAACTTTAAGGTAAAATTGGTTACAAATTAAAACATGTTCTATTTATCGTGAAGAAGTTCGAAAAGAAATTTAGGAATTTATCATTAGAAGTCTAGCTTTACATTTATTTTTTTATGATATGACTTCATAAAGAAGTAATGAAAATATAAAGAGCACATAACGAGAGTTTTAATTTATTGAATTGGCAACACTGAATAAATACTAACCTTGAAATATTTTAACAATCAACGAAAGTTCGATAAGCATATCTAGTAGCTCTCAAATAATTGCAATATTAACAGCAAAATGAATGAAGAAGAGATAGTATTAACCCACCATATAAGAATATTGAACGAAAATCTCCTCGAACCGGTTACACGAATAATTAAAGAACTACAAAATAAGGAAATGATGGCAATGCGGCTACCGCATTTGGTATTTGACAAATGTTTGTCGGACGATGATTTCGCGATATTCGAAACTGGGGTAAAAATGTGCAAACATTTAACTAGTGATGTGCCGAAACTTAGTGTGGCGTTCAAAGTTTTCTGTGATGACTTATTTGCATCGTTTAACTGCAACATTGAAAACTCTGCAAATAATGAATGGGTAAGACAAAAGCGAATGTTTTTTAAATTCGTCGGACAGCTGTACGCCTACGAAATTTGTACTGAGAGAAAGTTTTTAAATGATATTGCAAATTTTTTCATGGATGTAGGCGACGAGGTACACATTGAGTATCTGAAAAGTTTGGTTTTACAAACTGCTCGCCTCAAACATGCGGGAATGTTATATAACAATACCAAAAAAAGAATGGAGAAAATGAGAATCGATGGACGCATCAACGCAGTAATAAGAAACTTGATTGACGAAGCTCTTGTTGCCATTCGAAATAATCACAATTGAAGAGTACCTACAAGGAAAATTTAGATATAAGTTATAAAGTATTGTTAAAATGGCATTTTTTGTCAGACCTATTAATCCGATAGTGGTAAGTAAGCGACTAGTATTTTTTTATCTTCAAAACGACTATTACGGAAACGTAGAAAGGCTACTAAATATTTTTTTCTGGCTTAAAATTCAGAAGAAATCGATTTTTCTCAATGGTTGAAATCAGAAAAATATATTTTTTTTACTTAAAACTAGGTCATTTTTTTAAATTGTAAATGGAAATAATAAATCATTATTCTGAGCTAGACCTTGGAATAATGTACCCGTAGTGGGTTAGTGGCTCGATATTTTAATATGTGTTATAGACACATATCTTTTAGAAAAAAAATTATAAACACCTAAAATTGGTCTTATGCCATCATTGGGCCACCAATCATTTTTTCTCTATTTTATGTTTAATTAAAATAAAGGTGCAAGAAAATTTGTTTAATTTATTTCATATTCATTTTTAATTTATTTTATGTTTAATTAAAATAGAGGTTCAAGAAGATTTGCTTAATTTATTTTATATTCATAATTTTAGTTTAACTACTTTTACTATTAATCTATGTTAAAATGAATTTGGACAAGAGATAGTAATAATCTAAAAACAATTGTTTAGAAAAACATTTCGAAATTTGTGCTATTAGCTATAATTTAAATAAAATTGATAATTTATTTGATATTAAATTGTTATTGATCAATATCTGCTAATATGATATACAGGGTGTCCCGAAATTTGACGGTCATGTTTTAACAGCGTAATCTACATCCTAAAATATGAGTAAAAGTTTTTATAAATATAGCTCCGAAAACGTTTTGTTTCCGAGATACAGGGTGCTAAGGGCGGAGGTAATTTGCCCACAAAATATTTAAAGCTGCTAATCCTATAGGTAATTTGCCCACAGCAAGTAAAAGGTCATCTTAATCCTGTTGGTATTTTGCCCAAATTTATTTCTAACTGAATAAATCATAATAGATATATCTTTCATTTACTATTTTTTATATATTATCGAAAAGTAAAAACACATTATTAATTAAACTAAAAATTATATTAAACACTAATTTTTATTATTATAAAAAAGTAAGTATACATAAGTTATATTATATTTTTTATATATTTATATTTTATTTACATATTTTTCAACTGGGAGGGATAAATGTGATACAAATTTTATATACTCTAATCTGCTGATTTGCTGCAGATCAAATCGTTGTATAAATTTTTCTAAACACTGAATTTTTTGTTTTACACTTTTGTCTTTGATTTTCTTAGGTATACTTAAGCTTTGTATTGTGACATACGTGTCGATTTGAAAGTCTTTAAGCTTTTCTATAAAAATATATACAGAAGGATGTGTACAGTAGAATGAAGAATTAAACCTTGAATGAAACGACTCACAGGCATTTGTAGTTCTTGTAATTGAAGCTGTTTTTCTGCCCATATACTTGGAGGAAATGTAGAATTTTCTTCAATATATGTTTCTAATAGGTAATCGGCATACCTATCGAGAACGGCATTTTCTGGTTTACTTGCCATTAAGTCAAACACAAAACAGTCTCCAACTTCATCGGAGTTTAAATATGTCAACCCAAATGATGTTTTAAGCCATTTTCCGGTATCACTGTTAGTTGTATATTCAGTCATTAATCCCAGAGACTGAATTTTACGATACCACGCTTGATGTAGATGAAATCGGCAGCCATTGATTACAGTATTAGGTTACATATAAATTAACGCCTTATGAATTGCTATTTCAAAATCAACGAACACTTTACATGGATTTAAAGCAATACTGTAAGTTTCCAAAATTTTATAATGCAATAACGAAAACAAATGTTTGTATATATCGGTAGATTTGTTTGGTAAAAAACAATATACCAGGGGCACATAGTGTCCATTACACAGCCCATGAATGGTAAATAATTGTAGGAAAAACTTTGTACAATACGAAAATGTTCCATCCATATACAAGACGTTCATTTTACACAAAGTACGAATATTTGTCTCGCATGTAAATACAATAATATTATTTTCTCTGCTATTTATTAAACGAAAATGTTCACCTTTACTGGTTTTAAATGTATTAGAATATAAGTCAACTGCATCATGCACTTCTTGTATATTTGTAGGTAATGGACCTGGTAGTATTTTGCGACGACTGTTGTATATAGTTTTTCTTATGTAGGACACATCAATTGTAGTTAGTGACTCTGGTAAATTAGTAGCAAGTACTTTACGGATAATTTTAGAAGGTTTTTCCGAAATATCATCAACTGCTTTTCGCTTACACGAATTAGAAACAATTTTCCTGTTTAATTTCGGTTCATTTGCTTCATGGCTATGAATTAGGTTGCCTCTGGATACTAAAAGTTCAGGACCAATTGTAAATACAGTGGCATTACAAGCATTTGTTTTTCTTTGGGAGCATCTCCAAGAAACTTCTCCACTTTTCATTTCTCTATCTTTGGCAAACGTAAAATTCTCCAAAAGGAGTACATCTTTCCCGCGTGTGCTTTTAATCAATGTAGCTGACATTATAGAAATAATTATTGTTTATAAACACTCGAATTACAATCATCAACGTATAAAAACTGACTGAAATATAAACAGTAAACACCCAAAGTAAGTACCTATTAGAATTATTAATAATCAGGTAGGTACCTATTTGTGGGCGGATGTAATTTGCGGGTTTAGGTACCTGAATGCTACTGTGGGCAAAATACCAGTAAGATTAACGCACCCCTTTACTTACAGAGGTAGAAAACAGAGATTTGTGGGCAAAAAGGACCCGCCGGCTAAAAGTGCAATCCTGATGACACATTTTTTAAATATATTTTCTAAACTTTTAAAGATAACTAAGTGACATTTGGTACAAATGCTAAACTTTTTACGCTCTATTTTATGGAATAAACGTCAATTTTTGATCATCTTCATAGGTGGGTAAATAAGGGTTAAATTATCCTAAGTTTTTTGTTAACCGTTTTTTACATTTTTGACTACAAAATTTGTAAAACCAATATTTTTTTAAAAATAAAGTTACTTTTGTTGTATCTACAAAAATGTGCCATCAGGACTTTACTTGTAACACCCTGTATCTCGAAAACAAAACGTTTTCGGGTCTATGTATATGTGAACTTATACTTCTATTTTAGGATGTAGATTACGTTAAAATATGGCCGTCTAATATCGGGACACCCTGCATTATTTATTTAAATAGCAAACGTTTTCAACTATTTATATAAAGGGTTTACCATTAGTGCGTAATGGTTCATTATTTCAAATTGTGTTATAGACACACAAACAAGTTTTAAATAAAAGTTAAATGGATTTAAAAAAATACGTATTTTAAAAATATTTTTGGACATACAGGGTGTTGAAGTTTTGTCTGGCAAATAAAAATGTATATTTTTTATATTGAATATCCTGTATTTTATTTCTGTATTAGAATGGTCTGGTAACACTGTTTTCAACCAGAGAATGTTTTTTTAAATATTCCAGGGTTTCCAAGCAATGAAATTAGGGATTGACGCAGACCCCAAATTAAATTATAATAATTTAGGTAGATATACAATGACTTAAAAATTGTTTAGTATAAAGACTTATAAGATACTACGCTAACAGATATTGGTGATAAAACTGATTTATTTTATACAGAGTGTTTTGAAACATGTTTTGAAATATATGGATAACTTTAAGTTCAATTTACTAATTTTCTTCAAATGCGTCACTCTGTATATTATTTTAGCATAAAATTTCCTATAAATTTGTCTATCTAACAATAATAACATATTAGTCATTAACACATATACAGGGTGTCCCATCAGTGCGTAATTGATCGACAACTGTTTTATTATTGGAAATACGAAGACATTTTTTAATATAAAAGTTGTATGATCACATTAAACAATTATTCTAAAATATACAGGGTATTCTATAAACTAGGTACAGACCAAGTCTATAATTTTAAAGCAAAACACCCTACAAGTAGTTATACATATTAATTTTTTTAACATCAATTATACATGGTTATAAAACAGTTATGAAAAAAATATTCGTATATCCTTTAATAAAACAGCTATCGATCAATTACGCACTGACGGGACACCATGTATAAATGTTATTGGCTAATATTTGGTATCGTTAAATGTGCAAATTTATAAGAAATTTCATGCTAAAATAATATATGGGATGTTGCATTTAAAAAAATTGAGTAAATTAAACTTAAACTTAGCCATATTCAAGACATGTTTCAAAACACTCTGTATAAAATTAATCAGTTCTATCACCACTATTTGTTAGCTTAGTATCTTGTAAGTCTGTATATTAAATAATTTTGAAATCAGTGTAAACCTACCTAAATTATGATAATTCAATTGGTCTGTATCATTCTCTAAAGCAAAACACCTGTATATCCTAAAGTATTTTAAGGATATGTATTTTTTAGATGTAACTTCTAATTGAAACTTTTTGTCTAAAACACAAATTGAAATATAGAAAAATTACTCACTAATGGGCACTAATAGGTTTATACAATTGTCATTTTAAACATTTATGTGATATTATGATTTGCTATGATCTTGTTCCTGTTGTAAAGTGGCCTACTCCTGTATCATTATATATCCAATATTTGTTAACTAAATTAAAAAAGGTACTACCTGTTGTGTTCTTGATAATGAAACATCCAATTAGAGAACAGTTTTAGTAGAATCAAGAATAATTGAATAAAATAAACGTTTAAAGAAAATTCCTTTGAAAGATATTATAGCGAAGAGAATATTTTAAATCATATGCAAGATTAATTAATTATTTATTGTATATATATTTATTAATTCATTTTAATTCAAGTTTTCTCAAACGGAAATCATATTTCATTAATAGCCCTCTAGTGCAAAATTAAAAGATCTCTTTCCTTTACAAAAGATAAATCCAAATTTTAATGAATTTTATAAAAAGTATATGATCAATAATCCAAATTTATTGTTCTAA